CGCCGGGCCGTTGCGCGTCCCCTCCGATGGCGTCCCCGCCTGCCGCCTCACCCCGCCGTCTCTCTGCCTTTTCCTCTTTCTTGGCGCGAGATGGCACGAGAGACAGACCGTCCGGCGCGGGTGGCTCCTGCACCTCCGCCTCCGGCCGGCTCCCCAGCCCCGGCCCCTGCCTCTCTGTCTCCCCGTCCATGTCCCCATCGCCCGCCTGGCGTCCATCGCTCCCTCGTGCCCCCCGCTTCCATGCGCCTTGTCCCAGCCGTCCTCGCCCCCGTCCCCCTCCTCGCCGGGCCGTTGTGCCTCCCCTCCGATGGCGTCCCCGTCTGCCCTGTCACCCCCGCCGTCTCTCTGCCTTTTCCTCTTTCTTGGCGAATCTGTCCCCTGCCTCCCCGCCCCGCCCGGCCTCTCCCACCGGCCCCCTCGCCTGTCCCCATCTCTCACGTGCCACGGTTCAGGCTCCGCTCAGGGCCCGCATCTCTCTCTCCCGTTCACCATCTCTCCACCTTCATGTCGCTTCCCCTCACGTTCACAGCCTCCTCACAGTCGCTGCCTCGGTCGGTGCCTCAGTCCCTCCCTCTCTCACCCCTCCCGGCACCTTCCCCTGAGCCCCCCCATCCCGTCCACCCTGCCCTGGGGTCCCCCTCCTTGGGTCCCTCCCAGATTATAACACCCTCATGGGCGGGCGGGTTCTCATGAACAACACCTGTGGCTGCCTCTCTGACCTGTGCAGGAGGAGGAGATGATGGGACCAGCGAGTCTCCGAATGGGAACTCAGCAATTACAAAAAAATGTCAGGAGAAGGGCGGGGGTGGGAGGGGGGTGCAAGAGGCAGGGCCAGCTGCCCAGACCGGGGATAAAAGGCCACCACAGAGTGACAGGGACGTGAGACACCACCCCCACTTCCTCCACACAGGGCGACATCCAGGCCGGACCTGAGCCCTGCTCAGCACCGTCCCTCCAGCCACCAAGAACCCCCAAGCGCTCCCTCTGGCCTCTGCTCTGTCCCGTATCCATGTCTCTAAGGGTCTCTGCGTGAGAGGCTCTCGCTGTCTCTGTGCCTCGGCCTCCTGGTGTGTCGTGTCCTCCTTCCCATTCGTTGTCTCTCTTTCTCTGCCAGAACCAGACGGCCGGCCCCCAGAATGCTTCTCCCGCTGATGGCGCTTCAGCTCTTGGCTGTAGGTAAGTCAGCGGAGGGGCCTGAGGCCGGAAGTCCCCTGCGGATGCTGAGGTGACACGGGGAAGGGCCCCGGGGACTCAGGGTCTTCCTGGGGCGTTCTGGTGAGAAGGACTGTGGGGGTAGTTTGGGAGGTCACAGTTTGGGGGTGCTTCCGTGCTGACTCGTCGGGAGGTTGCGGGGGTCATGTGAGAAAGGAGGGGCGTCGGGGGGCCCCCCCGTCGTGTTACAGGAGAACTCCAGGGAAAGGTGGCACATTGTCCCAAATGGAGGTGGCGGTGGTGACGGCAGGAGCGTGGCTCCGGGGACGTCGTGGGCCCTGGAGGCCGCACTGAGTGGAAAATTTGGGGGCGTGGCAGGGAGCTCCTTGAATGTGCTAGAGGAGGGTTAATGGGCTGGAAATGGGGCGTTTTGTGAAAAGGAATGGTGGAGGGTATTCGAGGGAACGTGGAGTCGAGGGCAGAAGACATAGCAAGACCCCGGGTTGGCGAATGACGGGGGTCAGTAACGCCCCCGTTCTGTTGGGGAGTCACGGGCAATGTCGGTCACATCCCATGTCGGGCGGTTCAAGGGTTAAGCAGAGAAAAGGGGGTTTGTAGGGCCTGGACATGCTAGACTGCTGGGGGGTGGAGAGCATTTGTTCCCTGCTTTCCCCACCCCACGCCACCCCACCCCACCCCTGCCTGTTTCTAGCCGTGGCACAGAGCCAAACGGATGAGAACAAGATAATTGGCGGCTATACGTGCATCCAGCACTCCCAGCCATGGCAGGCAGCCCTGCTGGCAGGCCCCATGCATCGCTTCCTCTGCGGAGGGGTTCTGCTGTCAGACCGGTGGGCCATCACCGCCGCCCACTGCGCCCGCATGTGAGTGACCCCCTCCCCCACTCCCATAGCAAGTGAGCTCCCGACCGTAGCCCCAGAGCTCAGCTGAGAACCCGGACTCCTGTGCAGAGCCCAACGCAGTAGCTGGGTCTCGGTTTGGTGTCGACAGCCTAGAACCGCAGACACGGCTCTGGATGTGGGATCCGGCCGTGAATCTTGAACTCGGGTTAGATTCCAAGAGCAGAGTGGCAGTTTAGAACCCGTACGCTGGCTTCGTCCCATGCAGAACCTAGAACCTAAGGTGATAATCTGGAGATCCATCCAGAGGCCAAGCTCAACACAGAGGCTAAGATTAGGAGCCCATTCCAGATTGCTGCTTGAATGTGGGGCACAGTCCACATTCAGAAACTCAGGACACAGCTTAGAATCCAGAGTCTGGCTCAGACCCTACAGTCTTTGCCATAAATCCAGAGCCCCACCTACAGCCAAAACGCAGCTTAGAGCGTAGGATAGAGTCAGAACCTAGAGCTCATTCTAGATCCAATGTCTAGTTCGAGGTATAGTCTACAGCTCCTCTTTGAGCAGCCTAGAAGCCAGATCTCAACTCAGTGTCTAAATCCCAGAGTGCAGACCGTAATCTGAAGCCTCATACAGGATTTGGAGCCCCTCTAAGACTCTGGACCCAAACCTAGAACCCAGGACCCAGATGAGAGCTCACTTGATGCCTATAAACCAGATCTCATGCCATAAACCGAATTCCAGTTTAGAACCTAGAGCCCGGAACTCAGCCCAGAGTCTAGAACATGATCCCCAAATGCCAGCCAGCACCCAGAAACCGGGATCCAGGAGCTCCGTCTAGAACCCAGAGCCAACCTGAGGTCAAGGGCTCAGGTGAAGGTCTAGAACTGGGAGCCCAGACTAACTAGTAATTTGATCTGAAACAAAGCTCAGCCTGGATTCGAAAGTCCTAGACCAGAGTTTAGATCCCAGAGCCCAACCGGAGCACAGAGCTCAAACCGGTATCTAAAACCCAAGTCATAAACCAGAACTTGAGCGAGAACTCAGAGCTCAGCCTAGAAACTGGAGCTCTCATCAGCGTCCAGAATCCAAGATCTCAGTCCCACAAGATCAGAATCCACAGCTTCGGACGCGACCCATTGCTCAACATAGCGTCTTTGGTCTACCTGA